AAGTTCATCTAAATTTTATTATTCCCAGATGTGTTGGACCTTGCAAAATTTTGCCAGTGAGATGCAGTTGATTCAGCTACCTAAAGAATTATGCACAAGATAATACTTCGAAATTTGAGAATTTGTCACTGCGACCGATGTTGTAACAGTAGACATTAAAGTTTAGATAATTATGATGGTCCAGTCATGAAGTATATACTTCAGAAATAGCTGCACTTGGATGATAGAAATAGCCAAGACAAAGGTGAAAGTGCATTTGCAAAGTTTCAAGAGCTATTCTGATAAAGCAAGAGGAAATGAATAAATGTTTTATTATTATATTTTGCTGCATTGGTGATTGAATAAAGTACAAAATTTTGACAGCTAACATAGTTCATTGGCTTTTTCACATTTTTCTTAATAGCAGTACATCTTTCAGAGTAAGAATGCATTTTGTGGTGAAAAATGGTTTAATAACTGAAGATCAACCTGCTGCTAATGTAGAGTCCTTTGTTTCTGCTTTTGTGCAGATAATGGTCCATGTATTAGTAATACCTCAATATGGAGTATATTTTACTATTCCAGGAGTTGTGTGGATTGGGCAGCAATTGTTTTTTGTAGCATGTGAAGCATTATTATGAGGGAAAAAAACTAAAAAAGTATGTTCTGTTTAATAGTTAGACATGTCATTCCAATATTAACCTTTGGATGAATGCAGCTTCAGATCATACTGTGATTACCTTATTATGAGGTAACTGGATAATACATGACCCTGCAGGTCCAGGCCTAGAAGATAAGTACGCTAAGATTAAGTTTATTTGGGTGCTGAAACAGGAAAATAAAAGTTGGAATTTAGTACATTTAAGGACTGAGAGGAACAATCTCAGTAAAGAATAATTTGATTAGTAACTTATTCCCTGAAATCGATACAGACTAAATGGCATATGTTCCTTGAACTTTTTCAGTAGGTACTCATCATGTGACTATTATCTGTTTTGATAAAAAGAACTGTAGCCACTTCATTGACATTCCTGAAACTCGTCATTTTAAAATTACAGCTTGATGTTGATGATACAACACATGTGCTGCTTCAGGATGATGGGCCAAAGAGAAGGTTTGTTCCTTCTCCATGTTAGTTCGATTACTTTAGTTTCTCTATACAAGTAACTTTTGTGCTGATTAGTTTATGGAGAAGCCCTGATATCATCACCCTTCTGTGTTCTATTGATGCAGTTATCAGACTAATCAGACAATATAATGATTGCATGCTCTGATAATGTCACTTTTCGTCATCGTGTACAGAGTCTCTTTGTCAAATGGCAATGCTCTGTATTATTCAAGGTGGCAAGATATTAAGATTAATCATAACTTCCTATGCCATTCTTCAAAACCTAAATTGTCATGATCCTGGAAAGATATAACTTTTGTCATGTCTTGTGATTTATATGCACAAATATGCATATATGAACAACTTGTTTTGGTAGTTCTAGTGCTCTACACGATAATCCATATTCAAATTGGTATAACACTTTCATCATTTTACTTCTAAGTTTTTCGATCTTTTATTTCTAGAATTACATCGTTACATTATATTTTCATAATATTTAGGTTTGTCAGAACCCACTATCTTTGAGAACTTGTACATATCCTAACCACTTTCTGTGATCTTCCAGCTTACTCTACATTGAGACTGCTGATCGCCCTGGATTACTGCTGGAGATCATCAAGATTATACTAGACATCAGTATAGATGTTGAATCAGCAGAGATTGACACTGAAGTCTTTCTTCTCTCTCTAGTATGTATGTATGTGTGCACAAGAATTAAAATTAAAATTCGTCTATACGTTGTCTTATAGGGCCTGGTAGCAAAGGACATGTTTCATGTGAGCTACAGAGGTGCAGCACTGAGCAATACTTTGTCACAGGTAAGGTTAATCACGTCAATATTTTGCAACCACTGTGTTCATTTAAGCTTATAGTCTCAAATGTTAACAAAAGAAAAAAAATCTGATTTCAAGTAGCTGAGACACAAATTGGATTTATAGAAGTTGGGAAAAAGTAAATATTTAGGTTATGTGGTTTTCTGTTGGACCTGAATTTGAATTCGAAGTAATATTTATATGATTTCATTGCTTTAACTGTGCTTAAATTAAGTAGGAAAGTTTTTGATGATTTGGTTGGTTTAATGACCAGGTAGATATTCGTTTCCTATTATGAGTTCAATATATGTGCAGGTTCTGATCAACAGCTTGCTATACTACCTTCGAAGGCCTGGAACAGAGGAAGATAGTTATTGATGTTTCACGGGTCACAATAATTTGCTTAGATGTCGTATGGTACGCTATTCCACGTCCACTATGAACACCATTTCTATCGGATCTGGTCAACGACTGCCATGTATATAGGTGGCCTTAACTCTAGGCCACAAGAATCCACTCTGATCAGTGTCCTGTATGGCCGTTGATTTGGCTGTCTCTCTTCCGTCCTTTGAATGTGCATCTTTTGTTATTGCTTTTCTCAGTGTATTGCCACATGTTTCCTTAATCCGATATATCATATTCTAAGAACACACCAAAAAAATATATAGGGAAAAGTATTTCTTTTCTGAAAAAATAGATAATTTATTTTCGAACCTTATCTCTAACTGCCCAAAGTTTGAGTTAAAAAAAGTAAAATGTTGGAGACGGATGGAATAGATGGTATTTTTCATAATTTTAAGAAATTCTTATTTTACATATAGTGCGCACCGAACAGATCGAAATCCGGAGGTCGCACTAATCTCGAACTCTAATGCGCCCTGACCCCTGTTTTTTTTCCGTTCATTTTAAATTTTATTTATCTATTTCGTATCGTGTCCGATCATCATCATATCTTGCATCTTCTTCGGTGTCGCGATTGTGTAGTAAGCGATGGCTCTGAGTCGTCTCCATCTCCTCCTCAACAAGCCGCCTCCCCACCCGTTTCTGCCCCCCTCATCTTTCTTCTCTCCTCTCTCCTCAAGCTTCCACGTCTCCTCCCGGCGACCCCGCCCCATCCCGCGCTTCTCCTTCGCCCGTCGTCTCCTTTGCTCCAAATCTGATCCCCCGACCCAGGTGAGAACCTCTCGGGTTTCCCCTTTTTGAATTCCCCCTCCTCCCTCTATTCCTCTGATCAGTCTACTGTCGATTCAGAGCGACCCAAGAAGGGGCGAGCCCGCCCCTTCAATAGTTGGCGATCTGCTGGATTACCTTAACGAGTCTTGGACGCAGTTCCACGCCACCGGTAAATCTGTGAACTCTTCTATTCGTTCCTTCATCCTCTTCCTTTTTCGGGTGCTTTGGTCTGACGCTTTTTTTATTTGTGGCTTTTTTGGAATTCAGCTGAAGCGAAGAGGCAGCTGATCGAGGCTGGTTTCCATTTGCTCAACGAGAATGACGAGTGGGATCTGCGGCCCGGTGGTCGGTACTTCTTCACTCGGAATATGTCCTGCTTGGTGGCTTTTGTGGTTGGAGAGAGGTGAGTTGCGTTATATAGTCAAATGCTTGTTTAACAAATTTAAGAGTCGGTTTACGAAATTGTTACTATTGTAGTTCTGTTAGCGTGGAGACCAAAGAATGATATATTCAGCTTAAGCAATCCCTAATATAGTGAATTTTACTTCATTTTCCTACATTACAAATTGGGTCCGGTACATGGGGGCAGTGATTTCTTAAAGCACGGAACTATGGTTACTTGGAAAATCATGAATTTGTGAATTTAATCGTGCAGCACAACTCCTCTTGATCGGCACAAACCGATCTATCTTGTTGAATTTTATCTTTTCAAATCCCTATTTGCCATTTTATGAACCTTCTTTATAATGTGGAGGTAATAATTCAAACCTTATGAACAGTGCTAACAACTCAAGTACTTGATAATAGATTAAGTTTACTAGTGAGTAGCTAAGATGACATATAAATACTCTTATGGATTTAACAGATGTGGCTTCATGCTTTACTCACTATGTTAATTTGGTTCTATTCCTAATAACAACCTAGAATAACTAGGAACTAAAACAACAGAGTGATCTGGTGTATTTGGAACTTGGACAGTTGCCAACTGCTTTTCATTGCCATTTGTTGGTGATTAGTGATTTTGTATATGATCATTTTCCTTTTAGTTCCCTTACATAGTTTTGATATCTTCATTCCTGGCTGTTGCGCCTTTATTTCCATTGCACAGTGATATCTTATGTCTATTATTTGACAAACTAAGGGTGCTATTCTACTTTCTCGTTCTCCGTTGTTGATGTTAGTGGTTTTTTCCCTTGTTTTTCCAGGTATAGTGTCGGAAGTGGTTTTCATGTAATTGCTGCTCACACAGATAGCCCATGCTTAAAACTCAAGCCTCGGTCTGCATCATCCAAGTCTGGCTTTCTGATGGTAAATGTGCAAACTTATGGAGGTGGATTGTGGCACACATGGTTTGATAGAGATCTAAGTGTAGCTGGGAGAGTTATTCTGAAAGATGGCCATGGTTCATTTAGTCATAAACTTGTTAAAGTGAGGAGACCTTTGCTACGTGTACCAACATTGGCCATTCATCTTGACCGGTTGCTGCCTATTTCCTCCTTCAATTATGGATTGTTTCAATTTATTCACATTCAAATGCATGATGAATTACATTTAACAGTCCGTCATGATTGTACTATCTGCCATATGATATTCCAAGTTATGCAAAAATGTTTTTGAACCAAGTCTGGTATTACAGATGAAACAATAACATGGCTCATCAGTACAATATATAAATCTTTTCATTTCAGATCCATGTCTATAAGAAATATGGAAGTCATTGTGTCCAAAAGCCAATGTTTTTTTAGTAAATTTTTGTTTTCAAACTTATAAACTTTTGGGATACATCTTCCAGCTACATGCTAATTTCATTTATAAAGGAATCCTCTTTTTTTTAAAACAAATGAGCAATCCTTATTTCCGAAGCCTTTTATATTCCACTTTCTTTCTCGAAGAATTTATATTCTTTTGAACTTGTGGCATGTAAATGTGAAATATCATACATCTCTTTAGACAAGGTTGTTCTCTCTGAAAGCCTAAATTCACTGCAAGAAGTTTAAATTTACATTGTACATTCTCATGTTCTTTGTAAGCATTTCAACCATTTCAATTTGCATTTGCACTTATAAGATCAATTTTTCTGTTTATTTCACACTGTATGTTTCCTGATTTATCTATTTATTCACTCCAGTAAATTCGTTGTGTTTGCTCATGAATAAATAAACTACAATGTTCAAAAGTTGGTTTCATTTGATCCAAATCATTCTGATGTATGAACCCAAAAGCTAACTTTCCTTCATATAGCACAGTGAATACTGAAGGTTTTAAACCAAACTTGGAGACACAGCTTCTTCCGCTAATTGCAACAAAAATTGAGGATGCTGAAATGAAATCTGAGGACAAGAAAATAGCACCTTCTTCATCAAAAAGTGCTCATCATTCGTTGCTCTTGCAGGTATTTGCAGAACTTACCTGAAAATATCAGATTAATAACCTCATGTAGATGGTCAGTATAATCATGATGTGTATTCAGTTTTTATCTATTTAGCTTCAAACAAAATTGGTGTTGTGGTGCTTAATGTTTTTATGTAAATTTTCAGGTCTTATGCGAAGAACTCAGTTGTGATGTTAGTGATATTATGGGTATGGAGCTGAATGTTTGTGATACTCAGCCTAGTTGCCTTGGAGGTGGAAATAATGAATTTATATTCTCTGGAAGACTGGACAATCTTGCTTCAAGTTATTGTGCACTCAGAGCTCTGATAGATACATGTCGGTTGCCTGGAGATTTAGCAAATGAGCAAGCTATCCGAATGGTTGCTCTGTTTGATAATGAAGAGGTATTACTTTCAATATATCTTTTAACCAGATTCATATGTTTTGTATTATTTGATGGCTTTATCTATAACTTGTTTTAATTACCTGCTCGGATCCTGACTGACTCATGCTTATCTCCAGTTTACTACATTGAAGTCTCATTTCTTAAGAACGAAATAAACTTAATGATGTACAACATACAATCACCACTGCATGCTACATGAGCATATGATTTGTCCTTTGCATATGATCTGATATATGAACAGGCATTGAACCATTCATTTATCTACAGTAGTAATGTGCTACTTCTGAACTTTGGAGAGTAAATTGTATTTACATGAACTTTACAATCAGTTCTGATACATATGAAGATATATACACTTGAAAATTTGAAATGCTATTTTGGCGTACTAGTGATTTCAAACACATTCTACAACCATATTGTTTGATTAGTTGTGTTTCTTTTTCCTTTTCTTCTTGATGCATAATGCATCATATATGGAACACTCCAGTTTAGTGCCATATCGGAAGTGGCTAAGAGCCTAAGACTAAGATTGACTTATGAGGGTGATAACTTGGGCTTAAGAATTTTGAGCTCGTGATTTAGTTTCAACGAAGTTAATAGGCTAGTTATCTCATCAGGCTGGTTCGTGATAATTGATATTAGAATTGACCTAGTATTGGGTCATAGTAAGGGGTTCAATTAGGAAATGATTACCCGTGGATACAATCAGAGGGCACATCATGGCGTAGAGCCACCATTGATTTATGTTTCACATACATAATGCTAGGTTTTGATCTGGGCTATGTTGGGCCTTGACAAGGATGTTATATCCTTAAGTGGGTCGTCATTTTAAGATGTGATCCTAATTTTACAGTTTTGATAAGTGGAAATCGAACATTTGTATCTATAAACATTGCCATTAAAATATGTAAGATATGATTTAGTAATTGAATAATTTGGAAAATATTACTGATAAGCTAATTACAATTATAGAATTTATCTATTTGTTTCTTTATCATTTTGTCTAAACTGAGATAATAAATTAGAAATTCGACAAGAAATGTCATGAAGAAAATTTGTAGACTCAAGACTTCAGCAATGGTCTCTTAAGAAGAAACCATGATGTATAAAGGTTCAAGAAAATTTATTATTGTCAGCCCTTCAACTTGGATAACTGGGTATTCATTGTTAGAAAAAAGGAGATACCATGTGATGGTTTTAACCTTCTTTAAGAGTTTTTATTTCACAAATTAAAGAATGAAGAAAAGATTCCAAAAATAGGAAAATACGATATTGCATGTTGTTCGAAACGGTGTTGGGTTTTTTGGTTATTCATAGCGCAGGATAAAACGTGAGAAGAGAGAGAGTAGAAGAATTGGAAAATGGCAGATGATAGAAGATGGAGAATAGAAAAGAGACGAGATATATAAATGAACCAATTTCTGGCCTGCTAATTGTCCTGGTCTGAACAATACTGGGATCCAACTTTCTCAATCATAATATAAGATATATGTTGGTCAATTAATTAAAATCAGAGGCCTGAAATGGCCCTAAGATCATTCATATTCAAAACAGAAAAGTTGAGTGTACTATTAGGTATGCAGTAGAACTTCTTCAGTTAGACTAAGGAATAGTTTGAAATTGTGATGACTCTATTGTTCTAGTTTTGT